GAACTGTTCGGCTTTTGGCCGCAGCATTCGACTACTCTGCGACTGGCGCGTGTGCTGCTCCACCTGGCCGCCGAGTTCAACCACGGTCGTGAGAGCGTCGGTGTCTTTTAGACATCGAAAAGGCGTTCGACCGTGTTTGGCACGACGGCCTAGTATATAAATTATTTGAGAACTATCACATCGACTGCCTATGTGCATCTGGTGGCGTCATTCCTCAGGGTCGTAGCTTCTTCGCAGTGCAAAGAATACAGGCAAATCTACGGAAGCAACACTACATTATGTAGTAAGTCGGATAGAGGGTGGACATTGAAGGAGCATTGGATCGCACGACATTCAACTCGATCAAGCAACAAAGAACATGGCATTCCTTCCACACTCTGTAGGTGTGGATACTGTGCAGACTGTGCCGTGAAAAATCGGAATCCAGGGAACATTTGATATGCAACTGCGATTTATTGGCAAGTATGCATATGAGTCCACTAGGAATGGCTTATCGAGAGCCAAGGGACTACAGATGTCTTCAACCGCGGGATATCGTTAAAGTAACATATAGGATCTATGATATACAAAAGATCCTAGTAGAACGATGTGCAACGGTTCAAATGACCCCATATGCGAATATAAGATAAGATACCGCGGGTTGTGCATTGGAGCTCTACACAAAACCGGTTTTTAGTCGCCGTGACGAGGCTACTACGTAAGCGCTTCCCCCCTGGCCTCATGACAGACGAAATTTTACCGTCTTGTGCCGCTCGATCACTCACCGCCTTATAAAATTAACATCGCGCTTATAAGAATGATACAGTGAAAGCGAAGATGAAAACTTATTTCATCTTCGCTTTCACTGTATCATTATTCTTTAACTCATTCTTTATATTGTGTTGTTGATTGTATTGTGTGTTATCTTCCTGTCCATTAGCCACTGTGCAGGCTACTTGGACTGCTTATTTTTAACGCTTGTTCAACATCATCAAAACGCAGCCATACCATCAACATGTGCCACACATCAACATCCATAGAACGATAATCCAATATGCTGGTTGGATGTCACGTTTGAATCTCTTGCTCTCAGTCTCTGCAGTCTCTGTCTGTAAATCTTTCTACCAGTTCTTGGATGCTGTGTCTTTTAATCGAGAGAAACTAATGCTTCCCAATCTTTGTAATTGAGCGGCCAATTCATTCCTATACCTTTTCAATCTGAATTGATATATTATTTTTTTTTTACGAAATATCTCTATTTTTCTGTTTTACCGTTTTCAGTTTGAAGTTTATTATTTGTATATTGTAGTATATTGAGTATGTCTTATCTTTTTGTCTTACTTTGGAACCATTCCAATATTTTAAAATTGCTGTTACTAGCTGAGCCTCAAAGCTATATGCCATATGTCCACATAAATTTAATGATAGTTTTGTATATGATCATTTTGCATTCACATGTCAGTCGGGAGTGTCATTCTATCGGTCAGTACAAGCGATGGATTTTGATGTCTAGATGTTTGCGTTTAGTCCATACTCGTATATGCTTTGCCAGGTAAGTCTGCGGCCGTCTAAGTGCATACCCAAGATAGCCTGAGATCGATTTTGGATATATGAAGTCAGTCATCGTAGGAGGTTGCCTCTAATGCAATCGAAGTTAGTCTACAAGTAAACGATGATCAGGTCGATTAAAACATTTACTGTAGTCCGTGAACGAGTACATAACGTCGACTTGATGACCATAATGACCATTATCAATAGCCTCTGTGAGATGATGTTGATCACTATCATTACAAGCACTAAATTTGATACGATGAATCGCCCCCTTAAGAAACCATACTAAAAAAAAAAAAAAAAAAAAAAAAAAAAAAAAAAAAATCATTTAAGGACCTTTTGATTGCAGAATACAAATCTTTTTGTAATATGGATAAAAAAAAAAAAAAAAAAAAAAAAAAAAAAAAAAAAAAAAAAAAAAAAAAAAAAAAAAAAAAAACATTACGCCGACCACAAATAATAATTGGGATAAGGGTAGGAAAATGATGATGATTGCAGAATACAGCTGTTCGTATACTATGTACTATATAATTTAAAGTGGTAATTATTTTTGAATTATTTTTGAATTTCAGTGCTAGTGGTGGAGTTGAATAAAATTCATATTGTTACAAAATTTATAATTATTTTCTTTATTCACTTTACACAATGATATTAAATTTAAAAAATGACTAGTAGTGTAACAATAATAATAAATAAATAAATCAACGTCCATTGACTAAGTAGTGTCGGGAAGGCCACGCGCCGGCCGCAGTGTGTCCGCCGAGACGCGCTGACACCGGCGCACGCGACGTGTCACCAAATCGCACACAACACCACGGTATAGTTCAAGTATGTGGTTAGAGACAACGATCACGGGGGAACTTTATTATCACGTCAGGATTAATATTATTAATATAAGTAAAAATCCAACTACTAAGAATATTATTAGTTGCGTCTTTTTCTGAAACAAAATAAAAACAATTGTAAAAATTATAATTAAAAAAAAAAAAAAAAAAAAAAAAAAAAAAAAACAAAAGTATAACAAACCATTGATATCTTTATTTTAAAGAAAAGTAAAATAAAATATAAAACAGCTTTGCCCTGAATTGCCGGGGAATTTAATAGGGCAAAGCTATTTGGAGTTTCTTCAAAATGATCTTCCCAATTTATTAGAAGACGTTTCCGAGGAGCGTAAGGAATCGTATTGGCTGCAAAATACTGTACCGGTTCGTGCATATTTAAATAGATGGTATCCAAAAAGATGGATTGGGCGCCTAGGGCCAATTCTGTGACCTCCGCGTTCATCGGATTTAAATCCATTGGATTTTGTTTTTTTACTGGGGCTGCCTCCAAGAGGAAGTGTACCGTAAGCCTATACAGTCTTTGGACAAATTACGCAGTCGTGTCAAATAAACGAGCGACGGTATACAAGACTGCTCAGAAGAGCTCTATCCGAAGATGCAGGGCATGGATAAGAGTGGGAGGAAAACAATTTGAGCATTTATTTTAAATATTTAATTTTGTTTTTGTTATTCCCCAATGACGAAAAAAAAAAAAAAACGCGCGTTGCCATTCCTGAGAATTAAGGTGTTATAACCCTGTAATTTCATTGCCATTACCTACGCTTCAAACAGAAACACAGCTTCTTCACGGTAGGAACATGAATGCAAGCAAATGCCCAAGCAAACAACTTTTTATAAAGTGTCCCTTTGGTTGATATAGTATTTAGTTGTCTATAAAGGACTGTGTTACTAGGCGAACTCCAGGTATGGGGGCCACTTCTAAGGCGCTATTTCTCTCAACCTATCTATTAATCTGATAGTTTTTTTTTATTTCTCAAAATTACAATTTTATGGATCACCGTAAACTAAAATTATAATAACTTTGATTTAAATACATTACATAATTAGCTCTTACTTTACAATCAGTTCCTACTTCCTCATATTGGTTTAGAGAAATGGCGCCATAGAATGTACCCCGTTGTGGTGTTATAATGTGAAGCGAGTGCATTAAATTGTTTTAAAGTGTAGTACAACGTAGCACAGTAGAAGTACAACATGATGAATGTGTAATGTGTAATGTGCAGACGGCACCTCTCGGGCCTGCTTCAGCTTCACTACGCCCTGCATGAGGTTCTGCTCGCCGCTCTCCACGTAGTCGGTCGCCTGCAGCGCGAAGTGTTGCACGTTGTCGATCTGCTCTTGCTGAAATAAACGTTAATATGCCTGTTATTGTAAATAACGTAATGACTACATGCATATTAACGGTGCAGTCAAACGTGCGCACCTGGGGAGTTGCATCGCTGCAAGCATGCTATGCGGTGACACGCTTCTTACCACCTCTCACGCTCACTATATGAGGAGAAAGGGAATTTTAGTAGAAATGGAGATTTATCAGCTCCATTACTAGCAATATGCCTTATCAGGTCGACGTCCACGCGGTTCCCCCTGGAAACCATTGTGATTAATTCTTGTGGATTTTTCACGATGGACTAATTGAGATGCTTTCATTCTCAACTATCATCTATTACTGGTGCCCCGCCGGCTTACGGGCTTAGCACGGGCGGGGTTACCATCATCTCAAAAAAAAAAAAAAAAAAAAAAAAAAAAAAAAAAAAAAAAAAAAAAAAAAAAAAAAAATGAATTTAAAATAATTAATGTTAAATTTGCATATTCTTTATATAAATTACTTTTTAAATATCTTTAATTTTAGTTGTACATAAAATTTGCACGCCTACTTTTGAGGCAAACATTGTACTTGTAGAGACCTACCGTGCTTTTCATATTAATTGTAAAGTTTTTGTAAATATTTGATTGATCTATTGATCTAGCGCGCTAGAGATGGAAGGATTGTGGTGGTGGTGGTGGTGGCGGTGGCGGGCTACCTGGTCGGCGACGAGGTGCGACAGCCTGAGGAACAGGTCGCGCACGTCCCGCACGGAGCCCTCGATGCGCGCCAGCTGCTCGTGGCGCGCCTCCACCGCGCGCAGCGCGCGCCGCGCCGCCAGCGTGTCCGCCCGCACCTGCACCACACCACGCACACTGTACACAATCACTGACACCTGGACACCTGGACACCTGGACACCTGGACACCTGCACTCGCGTGTACCACTTAAACAAACACCACCACATATACTAATATCTAGAGGCAGTTACTGCCATTTCATTAAAAAAAAAAAAAAGAAACAAACGAATGTAAACAACGAATGACCGTGTGAGTCATTACAAGGTTATTGGATGCCATTAACAGAACTTACGTTGTCTACAAACAGCGAGAGGTTCTTCGTGTCCAGCAGCGCCTGGCACTCGTCATCCGATATCGAGAGGTTTGCTGCAAATCATATCAAATAAAAACAACACAATGATATGAATGAATCTCCACATTTAGATGGTAAAATCTTATAATCTATACATAAAATCATTTGTCCTGACTGATTCATCAACACACAGCCCAAACCACAGATATTAAGAAAAAAAAAAAAAAAAAACCTTGAAATTTATTGATGCATTTTATGATGGAAACGTCCACTAACGAGGGATTTCTGGAAATTTCACCCCTAAAAGGGGTAACATAAGGGATCAATGTTATATAGAGACCAGTCATTTATAAAGTTAGAAAAATGGTATTTTATTTACAAGCTTATGGTAAGGAATAAATTTGCATTTCAGGATAAAATCTGCCCCTAAGAGGATAAAACAGAGATTAACAGTTTATACCAGGAGTCCGTCATTTTTGAACCAGGAAGAATGAAATTTAAGATTAAGGCAAATCGACAAAAATAAATACGTCTTTCGTTGTTTCTAGAAATTAAACTTCAAAAGGGAGTAATCGGATGAATATTAGTATTAAAAAAAAAAAAAAAAAAAAAATACGACTTTACGATCTTTCGAAGTTGGTTGAAGAAGGTGACAATTTTTTAATTTTTATTTTGTAGAGTTCACATGTTTCTATGGACATATTCGCTAAAACTCTTCATACACATACTTCTAGTTGTAAATAATGAAATGCCAATTACTAAATACGTCTCGACATCGCCTATAGACATGAAAAGTACTGTTTCGCCCATGATACCCCCCATACTTTGCCATTCCTGAGGACTCCGGTGTTATTCCTCTGTACCCTGTAAATTCACTGCCATATCCCACCTTACAAACCGGAACACAGTCATAAACATAACTGCTTCAGGGTTGCAACACGAATAAGACCTCTGTCTTATTCGTGTCTGCTTTTGCAACCAGAATGAAATTTTACGCTTTTTACTATAATTATGAAAAAAAAAATAAAAAAAAAAAATAATTACAGACATCTGTACAATCATTTATCCTTTACTTATAAATACGCATGAAGCCGGATGCAACAGCTAGCACATGATAATGATACATTATTGAGATTCAGTTAACCGATATTTTATTATTTACTCAAATTCTATCATTCGTGTAATGGAAATGCAACGTCGTTAAACGCTCGTTCACCTGATAAGCAATATTTATGCACATTTGCAAAACAAAAGAAAAAAAAAATCTCCTCAACTGGTTTTTATACCCATTTGCTTCAACAGCACACAACTGTGGCTACTTACTACACACACAGACACATTGAGTTATTATTGTATAATTGATATTATTACCTAGTAGTGGTGGTACGTTTAATTGATTATTTGTGACTGTAGTGTAGAAGCTACGTTTCTTATCAATGCCTTATCTATGTTTATCTAATGTGTACCTGTACATGTGTACACGGCGAGGCGTGGGCCTCGTGGGTGAACTCATCTCGAAACTGTGCGGTGCGATATTAAATCCTATGTTTTGGACAAAGCATCCTTTAATCTAAGTTTTCCGCCTTTAAAATACTAAAGTGATAGATCCAAAAAGGAAGGAGGGAACGACTATCGAAGTTCTCTGCCTTTTGTATTGTGTCCGTCACAATTATTATGTCACTACGTTACACATTATTGTCTTTATATGTACATAAGACAATAATGTGTAACGTACTGATAAAATAGCTATCTTTCTTTGTCTGAATAAGCGTTCAGTTAAAATGAACAGTATTCGCGTTGAAGAGAGTAGGCGTCTTTGTTGTTATCCTATCTCAACAAGCACCGTTTACTGCCCATATCTACCACTTCTCGAGCGAATTGAGAACAGAGTTCATTGACATCTAAAGGAAGTGGTCGGATGTTAGAGACCGCGGCCGGCAAGTGCTCTCCTTTGTTAGGACCTTAATACTGGACATGCAATCGGTATACACTTCGCTCGGGATCGCGTCCGATGTTAAACGATGTCTTTGGCTATTTTGACAAAAGCAAGGCATTAATAAACAGGTCATACTCGTACACAGTGATGTATATGTACAGTCAAATACGTGTAGCGTCTCAGGGGAATGGAAAGTGGGTGTGTAATGTGTAGGTAGAGCGGAGATGAGTTACGGAAGTGGATGAAGTACCTAATAGATGTAAGGATAGAGCACTTTGACGCTACGTTGTATCCGCCTCTATTGATAAAAACTTGGCGACGGACATGTAAGGTAAGATGATATGTTAGCTCACTAAGTTTGATCTGTTCCTGCAGCAGATGCAACTGGTGGTCGTGCATGACTTCGAGGAAGCGCTGGTGGTCGGCGAGCGCGTCCGCGTAGAGGCGGCGCGTGACCGCGTACTGCAGGCGCAGGATGCGCGCGCGCACGTGGTTGCTGGTGGCGGTGCTGGGCTCGCGGGTGCGCCCCTCCAGCTGCACCAGCGCGCCGCATATCTTCAGCCCGATCGCGTTCGATGACGTGATCACAGAATCTAATCGGTCCTGAAGAACTGAAAGGAAATCACGATAAAAATCATATAAACTATACAAGGTGATATTTGTGTAATTTCATTAAAAATGCAACGAAACTATTCAACTTTTCGGTAAAGAACACAAACCTATCAATCTTGGAAGAAATAGTATAGAATCAGTACGGGAGCAGACAAATGCGATATAAAATAAACTTTAAAATATATTAACTTGTCCCGTAAAGTACATATATGTACGTGTATAAAATTACAGTCGAATCCTGTGGACTTGTAGTCATTCCCGCAGATCTCAGGCATTAGTAATAGGCGGGCAACGGAGATACGATGCGCTCTATATTACTCGTAATATTTGGCCTCCTGTCTTCTATGAGCTGACTCTGTTCCACGTGCTAACAGTGCATGAATTTTAGAATCATGTTCGATTGCAATTGATGCTGGACTGAACATATTAATTGTATTTATTGATTTGCTTTTAATTATATTTATTTTATAATTATCACACAATTAGCAATACAAACGTAGTCTTTGTGAAAAAAAAAAAAAAAAAAAAAAAAAAAAAAAAAAAAAAAAAAAAAAAAAAAAAAAAAAAAAAAAAAAAAAAAAGAAACCTTCATGTAAAAGGAAATGATTGCTAATGTTGATTATTTTAATTAGTTGTAATAATTAAACGTACTGGCAATTACAACATAATTGGCATAAATATGTCAGAGCTGACGACGGATATAATGAGAATACGAACTAAAATGCCACAAAGAGGATAAAATATATATTTAAAACAAGGAAACATTTTAAAATATCAAACTGATAATGAACGCAAAGAAGTTACAAAGTTTTTGTCTTCAATCAGGCGGATTGTTAGGGACTGGAGTAATAAATAATTATGTATGGTATAGGGTAAGGATTGTGGTCGGCGCGACCTGGTGCAGGCTGTATACGGGTATAGCGGGCAAGTATCCAGCGAGCAGTGGTGTACGTACGTTTGTTGGTGTGGAAGGTGGGGTCCGCGTGCAGGTGTCGCAGCACCAGTGTGTTGGCGGTCAGCTCGCGAATCCAGTCGCGCACGCGGCCTACCTGCAATTGTTTTGCGCGAATTTATTACAAGGACCGATTAATTGTTATGAGCTCAATGACTAATGGCTCGTTGTGTACATAAGCATTTATGCAGATATACTGTTATGATGAATAGCTGTGTCGCGTAGACAAACAACAGAGCACGCGGTGGGTGCCCGGTGTGGCGGCGCAGTAGGTCAGCCGGTCGCAGTGCGCCGCCGAGCGGCTACAAGTGCGCCTCCTTATTACTCCTAACTGGCGGCGTGAGCTCATCCTCTCTAGGATCATGTTTGTTTACACGCGGCACGTCACGCGACATACTGCCATACTGTTCGCGGCTAATAATTAATCACGAACATTTTGCTAACTATTATATATATTATGAATGTATAAACTAAGAGTAGAAATAAGTAGTGAAGAAAGTTAATAACCCACTATCTCGCATTAGTCATAGAGCGGAATCATTCGGGTGCAAGTTCCTGAAATCGTCTCAATACTGTTAGATTTTGCCGAGTCGTTTAGCACATTGTAATGAGCGTTTAACGCGGGCGCGGTGGGCAGCCCGCGCTCGCCGGGACGCCGACTCTCCTTGCAAATAGTTTTGTTAATAATGTTCATTAACACGGTGAACACTTCATTAGCAAGAAATTATGATTGATGTCCATGTGAAATAGAGTGACAGTTACAGTAACTGGCAGCTAATTTACATGTATCGTATACATGTCTGTTCGCAGCCAGTGTAGTGTGCTGTCCTAGTTTTTTTTTAATGGATGTTAATGGAATAGAACCCTGCTTGTGCTAAAGGTATACGCTGGCGGGGTACAAGTAAGGGATGATAGGTGAGAATGAAAAGGCAGGTCAATTAGTCCATCGTGATAAATACACCTGGAATTCAGCACGGTGGTTTCCAGTGGGACCATATGAAAGGAGGTTAACCTGACAGGGTGTATTGCTAGTCATGGGACTTCCCCCCTGAATCTGCTGAGCTAGTTGTAGCAACGGCGTGTAGCTAGCGAGCGTATGTGGTGGTGGCATACGTACTTCTTCTAATATGTCGTTGATGTCCCGCTGGTGCTGGGAAGGCTCGAGCTGCAGCGCGCTGTCCCCATCGGGCTGGACGCCGTGCGCCGCGCTCGCCTGCACACACAACGTCCCGCCGCCTGTTTACATCGCTCATACACTGGTAGGTACATACTTGACACCAACTACTTGTCTACAGTGCAATACATTTCCATCGGCGCAACGTCCGTCACGCTGCTTACACTTGATTAAACAGACAGACACGCGATATTATCTAGTTTGCATTTTTTTTTTTATCAATGTTATGAGCACAGAAATAGTTCATTTCCTTATTTTACATTTTTATTTATAGTTAGCACCGAGTTGCGGTCTATGATTAACTATATAAGCTAATGTAATGAAATTCTGTATAAAAAAAAAATAATTACACTACACAATTTTAGTATAGCAAAATAAGATCATTAATGATTATTTATTTTGGTGCAGGAAGTCTGCAAGTATTGCACTTTACATACAGTCACTTCGGTACTGATTGATACGTATAGTATAGTTAGTTTCAAAGTTACACTGAAAGTAAAACTAAGTTACTATAATGGATGCTATATATTTGACTTAAAAAAAGGGAAGAACTAATTTAGAGTACAAGTCAACTTGATTTTGTTCACTGGCACCTTTCTCCACTGTACATTTTTTGTCAATATTGTCTGATACTCTGTATCAATATTGACCTGTTGCTTTTTTTATTTTAACAAGTCTTTTTTTATAAAATAATATTTTAATAACATGCACATCAAATTGTTGATTTGAAATCGTGTGTAGATAAGGCACTATAATAACATGGAGCCGATGTTATCTCTTATTATACAACCGGTGCGGGAGGGCGCGGCGCATGTCGAGTCGGTGCAGCGCTGGAGCGTCACTTACTTTCTTGAGTGCTGCAAGTCGGTCCTTGGTCCTCATGTCGCTGGGTGTGACTGCGGCCGGCGGCGGCGGCGCGGGGCGGCTGGTCGAGTGCGCGGCGTGCGGCGTGCGGCGTGCGGCGGCGCTGGCGCTGCAGCGTGCGCTCGCGACGATATCTAATCGTAAACTGATAACACGCCGACTGGTATCACGCGGCCAATTAAAGAGAAGCGCACCGGATGATTCGCACATTCATATTTTATCATTATCACTATGCACCGGGATCTAAGATCCAGTTTAAGGACATACACACACATTAACACGAGATCAAATGATGTTATCTATTTGGTTATAGGTACAAATATTGTAAGTAAATAGGTATAATGTAATACAACGAATTAATATTATTTACTTAGTCAGAAATACACCTCACGTGAGAGGTAGTCTTTTGAGTGTGTTGTGTACGATCGAGCACAGCCTGGGAACGCAAACGGGAATACGGACCTTCAAAATCTTCGCCACATAAATAAATAGCTCCGCTAATTTATAGCAGATTTAAAGAGACCACAAATTCACAATAGGCTTGTATTTATTAAGCGACTCATAAACGAAGTGGTTCTCTATTCGCCTGTACGGTCGAGGGGGGGGGGGGGAGGGGGTGATTATTAGTAATAGAAAAAGCGGCCGATCTCTACCGGCTCTCTAGCAGTGTGACTATTTCCTTTTTATACACACATAGAATATTGTTTTCACCACTGGTCTGGAACACCAGCTAGCTAGATTACCAACTCCTCCTATTAGACTTGATTTGTATTATAGTATAATAGCTTTTGCTCGTAACTCGTTTGCGTGGATTTTAAAAGTAAGTTACCTTTTACTGTTTGGTGTAGTAGTTTTTGTACGATAACTAAACAAACATACAGACGGACAAAATTCAAGAAAATTTTATTTTGGCGTCTAATTATTTATGTTTTTGTGGATACAACATCGTAACTTTCAAGAAAAGAGCACATTATTTCTTCAAAGACTGGCGACACATCTGCAATGCCTACAATACCTGTGCGATGTTATTTGGGTGCTTTTGGATGATGGTAGGCATTTACCAATACTATCAAATGGGCTGCATACTCGTTTGCTTCTCTATAAAAAGTGTAGATGTAGGCAACACGAGCTACTCGCTCCACTTCGCTTGGTGGAGCCGCTCGCTGGCGAGGTGCTAGTGACAGTGGTGGTGGGTGCCCGCGTCGCTCACACCATCCACTGCGCATTCATCATCTTCCTACCCTTATCCCAATCATTTGGGGTCGACGTAATATGATTTTATTCATATTACAAAAAGATTTGGTTTTTAGTTTTACGACCGGCCGCCTGCCTGACGTCAACCCTCTTTGGGAAGCATCCACTGCGCATTAACACCAGTAATATTATATTTATTTTAAGAATAAATACTAGTTAACATACATACACAACAAGGCCGTGACGCGGCAAAGGACATTTGCGCTGTTGAGTAGGTATTGAGTCACAAATAGTTTTAAGTCGCGCAGCTATTTTATCATGTATTTATGAGTAAGCATATTAAGAATGGTGCCTAGATGTACAGCTGCTGGTGTAATGTAACTGTAATTGCTGCTAATACGAATTGGTTGCGTTTGCGCAGCGTTGTACGTATTCGTACGCAGGTATGTTAATGTGCAAGTCAAACAATGCGCGGGTCACGAACTCGCCGCTCTCCGCTCTCCGCTCTCCGCTATCCACTCGTGCCGATGAACCGCGCGCGCCGCGCTGTGATTGACTCCTGAGGTCACGGCACTCATGAAAATGTATGCACTAAATAATATTACGTGTTGTTTACTCTGTGGTTGAACGTGAAAACCAGATTCGATTGGGGGGAAAGGGATTGTTAGTAATGGGGTCTAACTGATCTATTGCCAGCAATATACCCTACTAGGTCGACTTCCACGCGGTTCCCCCTGGAAACCATAGTGGTTAATTCGAGTGCAATTCGTCACGATGGGCTAACGGACTTGGTTTATCGTCACCTATCACCTCTCACTGGTGCCCCGCCGGTGTATACCGATAGCGCGGGCGGGGTTACCATTATCACCCATTAAAGAAAACCAGATTTGATGTAGCAATAACATCTTACAACCAAAATTATTTATGAGACAAACTATCAATTACAGGGTACCAAAAACAACACTTTAGTCCTCAGGAATGGCTACGCGTGAATGCATTGCGTGTGCGTATAAATAGGTATAGAATCCAGACCATAGGTATAGACCATAGGTATAGGTATAGAATACCAGAGGGAGACTTTTACAAAAGTCGATTGCTTGGGTACCTCTGTCCCATTCGTGTTTCAACCGTGAAGCAGTTGTGTTTGCATAATGAAGGATGGGATATGGCGTGAATTTACTGGGTACAGAGGAATAAATAGTCCTCAGGAATGGCAACGCATGGGGGGTATATAGTATACTCTATTATGTCCATGGTAATGTCTATGACGGTTACTACTTTCCATCAGGTGGGCCGTCAGCTTGTTTGCCATTCTAAGTAGTATAAAAAAAAAAAAAAAAAAAAAAATCTGCTACGTGGAGCGAGTTGTAAGATTTTGCAATGTACCACTAAATTCAAATATACATAAAAATACTGGCTGATATAGTGAAGATGACCGGTGAGGATGGAGGAAGGAATTGTCAACAACCGAAACCGGCAGCCCAATTGCTCACAATGGCGTGTCAAACCGACTATCGCACTGTTCACCCTGAAAACCGTCGTTGTTTGTTTGTCCTAGTGTACGAGTATTCGTCTCTATGAGCCAAAGGGCCTGACTTTCTCCTCACCTATCATCTTTCATTTTCGCTCACGCAGATGAGGTACGGGTATGATATAACGTTGCAATTTCTTACTACTAAGGGAAGGAGACTCTACTAGAGGGAGACTTTGTATAAAAGTCGATTGCTTGGGTACCTGTGTCCCATTCATATTTCTACCGTGAAGCAGTTGTGTTTTCATGGCTGTGTTTTGGTTTGAAGGGCAGTTATATGGCGTGAATTTACAGGGTACAGAGGAATAACACCTGAGTCCTCAGGAATGGCAACGCACGGGGGATATCATGGGCGAAACAGTATACTGTGTTATGTCCATGTTACTGCTCATGTCTATAGGCGACGGTTACCACTTTCCATCAGGTGGACCGTTAGCTTGTTTGCCATTCTAAGTTGTATAAAAAAAAAAAAGAATTCCACTATATTCCTTCCATCTGATGAGATGGAAGGAATATATTATAAACTGCTGTCTTCGTGTGACTCGCTCACTGGATTCAATAACTAATTATCATCGTCATCGTCATCATCATATCAAACGTTCACTGTCCGCTGCTGGTAATAGACCTTCCCGTAAGGGGGTTTTGCCAGTAGTTGTCTCGTTTAGCAGAAGGGTTGGAAACCGCAGTTAGGCTTTTGATGATATTTTAAAAGAAACGCTGCTGCCTATCCCTCGACCATTAGGTTCCCTTAGTCACCTCTGACACCCACGGGAAAGTAAGAGGTGACCCATTGCAAGCCGGGTTAACACGGCAAATAAATAATTATAATAATTATTATTATTTATTAAATTATTTTAAAATGGTGGAAGTTCTCAATTCAAATGATCTTTTTGTAATTAAGAAAAGAGTTAACTTTCGTGTTAGTTCTATAAAAAAAAAAAAAAAATATATAATTAAAGTCTCTGTTTTTTTATGAGGAGCATAAGTTTTTAGCAATGTTATTAATTTATTTATATATATATATATATGTATCAAAATGTCATTACGTGTATAGATAGGTACGTGACACGTGATTCGTCATTACAGCCACGCTAGCTAGATGTCGTTAGCGCGCAGCTCTACGGCGCCACAAATTCAGATTTCACGAGAGCAGCACGCTGAATTATATTTGCTACGCTATCTGCTAGTCTGTGCCATTTTAAAGTCTAGTAATTAGTAGCTTGCTACTTCGTCTTGCTGCTTACAGATGGCGTTTTATTAGGTACTAGAGACGCCCTAACGTCGTACGCGTAGATATATAGAAAGATAAAGTAGTCTACTAATATTATAAAGGGTTCATTGTTGGTTCAAAAACTGCTCAATCGATTTGTAAAATTCTTTAACTTCAAAATGCTACATTATCAGCGAGTAGTATAAGCTATATATTATTTTCAGAAATGTTGTCTTCCTGTGCGAAGCTAAATCGGATCGCTAGTATTTTATATTAGCTTTACTAGACAATTTTTTCATATCTTAGATTATTGTAATTTAACGATCTAATCTTTTTTCTTGTAATATTAATATAAATGTATGTTTCAAATGTTTTTTTTTTTTATAAATCTATAAAAAAAACTTGTGGTCCCGGCGTAGAGTAGGTCATCCAGTTTTCCATGGATGTCGTAAGAGGCGACTAAAGGAGGGCGAGGGATGGGCAGCAGCGTCCCTCTTAAAATATCTCCAAAGCCTAATTACGATTGCCAATCCATCTGTCAAGTATGGCAACTACTGACAACCCCCCCCCCCCCCCCCCAAGGGGGAAGGTTATGTTAAGCAGTGGACAGTTAAAGGCTGATATGGTGATGATAAACAAAATATTAGACAGAAGTGGGCCGTTTGATAACTCGTTTGATAGTTAAACATGCAACTGCTGCAATATTCGACCTTTAGATGTAGTTACATCGCGTGTATTTGAAAGCAAAAATTTTAATTACATTATTATTCTAAAATCAAATTAGAAGAGAACAGTATTTATTTATACTTTTAGCACACATATTAAAATATGTCTTCAGGGCGGACTTAATGCCTGATGTCATTCTCTACCAGTCAACAGTTATGCTAAATAGAGAGAGTAAATAGCGGTGCATAGATTTAAAAATAATGTTAATCAAATTAAATTAAACAGTAATATAATATAACAGTAACCGATGCAGGTTACTGTCATGTTACTAACTTTTATACTGGCGTTAATGGATTATGTTGTTTCATTGTGTCAATTCTACGTTGTGTTACTTAGATAACGAACAGTTTCAGTTTTTAAACTTCATTATTTCCTACGGGCACGACAATGACTTGAAACAAGGACAACAGATTAATTTGGGGGGAAAAGGACTGTATAAAGCTTAAAAGCTTAATAGTAAACTAGTAATATAGCTTATCAGATCGTCCATATGGTTTCCCATGGATACCATCGTAGTTATATATTGTTGAATTCGTCACGATGTGCCAAGTGACCTGCTTTCATCCTCACCTATTACCTCTCACTGATGGCTCGCCAGTGTTTACCGGTAGCGCAGGCGGGGTTTATAATTTCACTCATAGAAAATGAAACAGATTTTACGTGACTATTTAAAGACTGTTCTCAACTCGCGTGTTTGTGTCTTTGTGGTATTACGTCTCTAATTAATTAGGAACTGGCTTGATAATTATATTTTGCAGTCGACAAATGTGCTTTTATTCAGAATGTACCCGTAGACATGGGGCTCCGCGTTCTGAATTCAAATAATATTTTTAAAAATTTATTTAATTTGGTTACGAAATATCTATACTCGTTGCGTTGTATCGACGCAGTATCAATATCAAAAAGTGGGACAACAAAATAAGTCTTACAATAAGTTATTATAAAATTAATATGAAGGTGTTCTGTGTATATCAATATTTTGTGATATATCAATACATATAATAAAATCGCTGCCTATACATGGAAGACATATATGAAAGACTATTATAGGCTTTATAAACGCAATAGAACCCAAAACAATATATAATTTTTAAAAAAAGTGGTGCTGCTGCTAAAAGTTGATTTGAAAGAGTAGGGGGGAAAGGGATTGTTAGTAATGAGTAATAACAGCCCCATCGCTATCAATCTACCGTCAGATCGACCTCCATGCGGTTCCCCCTGGAAACTATCGTGGTTAATTCTGTCAAATTCTTCACGATGGGCCAACTGACCTGCCTTCATCTTCACCTATCATGTATCATTGGTGCCCCGCCAGCGTATAACGATAGCGCAGGTGAGGTTACCATTTAGTTTTCATCCATTAAAAAACAAAGATTCTAAAGAGTGGTTATAGAGGACCGCCACTGATTCAGATGGTTGGAATGGAACTTTAGTTTGTAGAGGGTTGTACGGTGGTGAAAATCAACAGCAATTATCAATCCGAACAATTTCTCGGAGTACTCCCCACAATAAATTCGGCAAAAGATGCACAGAGATGCAACATCTCTACGCAATTTCAGTGGGTCGAGTCAGTTAGTATGGTGATTATTATCAAAAATTTGAGCCGCCCGATTTTTAATGCTGTCCAACAGAAGGAACTGGTACTACTGCGCTCTTACCTATAGGTGAGAACAGTATTCCATGTGTGACATGTGTGAGATTTATACAAATTCAAGCGGTGTTCCAGCGTAAAATACCGTCTCCCTTTCCTTTTACTTAGGCCATCTTAACCTTTTACTCCAGATGACCGTAAAACTAGATGTCGCTGGATATATCAACGCCAAGGATCTCTAGACTCGACTTATTATCAAGGGAAGTGCTTTAAGAACGAGGGGATATGACAAAACGGCGTCTTTTTTGCGGTGAACGCGTAGACTTGTGTCTTCTTAGGATTGAATTGAACAAGATTGTGTTTGCCCCAGATCGAAACTTGATCGAGTGCAGTTTTAATTTCAGACAAGTTTATTACGGCACTCATCGGTATACGTCCGCGACTTGTTTGCATAACTAGTATATAATGCATCCCTATATTGTCATTCGCATAGCAATGAATATTACCGATCTGTAACATATCATTGATATGTAGAAGAAACAAGGTCGGGAATAGTATACGAGCTTGCTGGTGTCCCCAGCAGTCACAGGTTTTAAATCCGTCGACTACAACCTTAATGCTGTGTCTTGAGAAAACAGGCAACTCACCTGCAGAATCTTGCAGGCAACCCAAACGAAGGTAGTTTTGAAAACAGAGATTTATGCCACACTCGATTAAAGGTTTTCGCAATATCCAGACTGACAGCTAAGGCCTCTCCCTTATTCTTGATTGCCAATGTCCATCGGTGTGTTGAACTAAAAGATCATCGGCCAAGCGTCCCTGTCAAAAGCCGTATTATCTTTTGCAGATCAGCTGGTGATTATCTAGGTATCGGATCAGTTGACAGTTAATGATAGATTTCGTGACTTTCGAGAATAAGGAAGTGATAGCTATGGGCCTATAGTGAGCTGGATCTGAGCGATCTCCCTTTTTAGAGATCAGTCAGTCAGTCAAGGAGCAGTCTTCCAAAACTTTGGCACTATATCTGATGAGTTATACAGCCGAAAAAGACGCGTAAGAATCGGGGCTAACACATTTCACACGTCCTAAGCCATAGGGCTTATTCGACGTGTGAAATGTGGTATGGAAATCATTAACATCTTCCTTTAAACGGGTATTACTCCAGTGAGAGTAATAAAGCAATATGAATGGAAAAACGTCTATAATTTTGAATCCTAGTGATTGTGCTATTTGGTTGAATGACTTCCAGTGAATGAAGTTTGTTTTTTTTTTTTTTTTTTTTTTTTTTTTTTTTTTTTATGAGAATGACAAACAAGCTGACGGCCCACCTGATGTGGTCCAGTGGTTTAACATGGGTTGCCACTGCCTCAACATCTGCAAACACAAATGAAACACGAATGGGACGTTGTACAAAGTCTCCCTCTGGTAAAATTTGAGTGGTTTAACATATGCCTCAACATCTAATGACCGTTGATTTGATCATCTCACAACACAAACATTTGTGTCTGTTGGTGTTTTCTACCTATAATGTGTATGTATTTCCAAAAGAAACTAGGCATGTCTATTAGTTGATGAGTACCGTATCAGTACCGTAGTATTTATTTCATTCTGTACATACACACGCTTAAATATTACTTATATGTATCTATATACTTAATTGTACTATGGATAAAATGAAACTAAAAACTTTACCAACTTACTTAATTTATTTTTGAACATAAGCCAAATATTTCTCATTATATACACGTCACACCTACCGACTTCTATAACGGGTGGATACAGAAATAAAACTCAGATTGTCGTCTATCATGTTTTATTGTAACATATAGATAGTGTTCTACACATTCACGTCACATACGCGTCGCGCGCCCCCTGATATGGGGGTGGCCTCAGGGGGGCGAGGGGCGGGGGCGGGGGCGCGCGACCATCCGTCCTCGATCGAACATAAATAAAGATTCACATAATTATATAAACTTACTTGCTAATTTACAGACACGGAGCCGGCGAGCGGCCTCCTCGCATATACACCTATATACACTCTAATCTACTAGTCTGTACACGCGACGCCGCGGCGTCATTATTGCGGGGCGGGCGGCGGACGGCTGCGCGCCGCTATTTACAACGAGACGATATGTGTGGGGGGCGGCGGCGCGCGCGCTCGTCAGTCGCGCGGCGGCGCGCGCGCCAGCAGTGCCAGCGGTTGCAGCGGCTGCAGCGGCTGCAACGGCTGCAGCGCCGCCGCGTGCAGCGCGTGCCCGTGTTGGTGCGCGTGCGGCGCCAGCGGCGGCAGCAGCCCGCCCGCGCCGCCCGCGCCTACGCCGCCCTCGCCCGCCGGCGGGTTGATGCGCTTTTCCTGCGTAAATAGTCACACGGTTAAGTTCTGTTTCACGTTCTAGGTAATTAGTTGACACATTTTTAAATGTTTTTATTGTCGAGAATTTTTTTTGTGAATCTTGAAATAGCAAATGAGCTGACGACCTATCTAATGAAAAGTAGTAACCGTCACCTACACTCATGAATACAACCATGAACACCATAGAATACCTATTGTACATCAAATTTTTCTTCATACCAGAGGAATACGTTAAAATACCTTATTCATCATCATCAAAATAACCTTCATCAAAATACCATCCTATAATATCATGCCCATAACCCATTAATTAAATACAGATATGCAGCACTATTACTGGACGGAAAAAACACGAGTGACGCAGAGGTAGTACAGAGAAGGTATGCAGTTGACTTTTATACAAAGTATCCCTCTGATGAAGAGCGAATGTGTGATGTTCAAGTATCGTTACGAGCTCACCTTTTGCCGACGATTGCAAAACCAGACGCGCACGACTTCTTTTTCCATGCAGAGCGCGTCGGCAAGCGCGGCGATCTCTTCGCTGGTCGGTTTGGGGTTGTGCAGGAACGCCTTTTCGAGTGCGACCCGCACACCCGACTCGATGGAGGTGCGCTTCTTGCGGCGCCGGCCGACAGCTTCCGCGAGTCCGGCGCCCAGCCCCGTGCCTCCGGCGCCGCCGCCACCGCCGCCCGACAGCGACGAGTCCGCGTCCTCGAGCCACTTCTGCAGCAGAGGCTTGAGTTTGCACATATTTTTGAAGCTGAGGTTGAGCGCTTCGAACCTGGATATCGTCGTCTGTGAGAAGTCGTTGCCGTACAGCTTGCCCATCGCGAGACCGACATCGCCCTGAGTGAAACCTGGAGCAAAGATCCGGGAAAATCATGCCACGTCACAATTCAACAACGATACATAATCGAAACGGAGTTCAGGGTCTCACCGAGCTTGATGCGCCGCTGCTTGAATGTTTTCGCGAAGTGCTCGAGCTCCTCGAGGTCAGCAGTGTCGTCGGCGGCGGGCTCGAGCGCGCGCGGCTTGTGCGCGTGCGCGTGCAGCGGTGTGTGCGCATGGTGGTGCGCGTGCGCGTGGTGCGGCGAGCGCGCGCGGCCCGAGCCCGGCGTGTGCGGCGTCAGGAACGCGCCCGCGCCCGGCGGCGTGTGCCGCGGCGACGGCGACCTGCCGTCTGCCAGGGACCCACGGATCACTATATACTCTTATGTCGTAACTATAATTTCAATAATGTTTGGGAAGGATTTTTGGAAAATATCTCTATTATTGGACATTAATAATAAGTCACAAAATTACATATTATACAGATTGCTTTTATATAAAACATAGAATGGTCCACAGCTCACCTGATGGAAAGTGTCACCTATAGACATCAAAAACATCATGAACATCAAAGAAAATGATGTTAGGTTTATGGTGAGTAAGTATTATGACTATATGGTATTACCTAGTTTATTGAACGTTCTCTCTCATGTCATTTGTATTCTTGCACTTTACTTCGAATTAGATTTAGATATTTTATTATTTTGCAAATACTAAATCAACTTACCACTAGAGGAGTTAGGTGCGGCATTGGCTCGCGCTTGTAATTGTTGTAGCTGCTGCGCTGCCGCTTGGGCTACGGCTTGCTGCACCTATCGCACACACTACATTTAATGCGCTGGTCGTGTATTAGTAATCCTGAGGCTTTATACATTACCATCCTAACGACTTTTATCCCGGAAACGTTGTATTGTATACTGACCTGCGTGTGCAGCAGCAGCGAGTGCGCGCCATGAGGAGTTAGCAGCAAATGCTGGAGTTGTGCCAGCGCACTGCCAGCACCGGCTGCCGTCTGAAAGCAGGCGATATACATTGTTTATATAGAATCGGAAACAAGTTGACGGAGCACTTGATGGAAAATTGTGACTATCGTCTATAGACACGAACAACCATTTCGCGGTGCTATCCATAAGGATAGTGTTTTACATCAAAACATATTATTACAATTAAAGATACCATTCATATATTTCAACTTGCCTAAGACTATATCTTCATACTCAGTGATTTAACTGGTGCATTTTCACTTTTCAGCCAAAACAAGTCATGTAATCAGTTACCAATCGACTGTACTGCAGACAGTAGTACCCATACAAAAATTTTTGTAACATACTCCAATCTGGTAAATAACTTGATGACAGGAATGCTGTCAGTGAGTGCATAGTTGCGTGGTGCATCAGGACCCTGGGGCCTGGGACACAGGACCACTGAGTGTAAGAGGCTGAGCAGAGTACTCACGAAGACGGCGGCGGTGGCGGCGGAGGCGGCGGCGTGCGCGGCGTGCGGCGGGTGCGCGGCGTGCGGGAGGGGCGCGGAGGGCGCGCGCGGCGGAGAGGGCGCGCGGTCGTCGCCGCTGATTTCGCCGTCACCGCTCGACCCGTCTGCAAGCACGTCGTATTTATGTTATACGTAATACTAGTTGTGCTTTCTCAAGAGTTATTCTGGCTCTATAAGTAGTTATTTTCAGTATATGCGGTGTAATTTTCACTAAACAAATTTTTAAGCAGAACTTATGGAAACGTCCTCTCAGTAGCTGCCAGTCTTATTATAACAGTACTTTCATAGTGCGCAGGTTATTGCAGAAACATTTGGTATTGTTGATACCCTCTCGTATTTGTGTTTTATGGAATATACACACTTGCAGCAACCTATGTATATCTATTGTAGTATCATTATTAATAACGAATATTATAAGAGATATGACGATGTCGATGTCGAGGTTGTTCCCATAAGTCCCCACAATCCCCGCAGTTATAAACTTACAATTTGTAACTTTACTTATAATAAAGTTATCGAGCAATAAAAATGGAAATTGATGCATTAAGAATGATGAAGTTGATTTAAATGTTCACGAAGGCAGCGACGCGGAAGTGCAAAGAAGCGGCCGATGCTACGCACCGGATATTTAATGTAAATGTAAACGCGTCGCCCCCTATCGGCGCTCTTCGCGCTCATAATAATACCTAAATGCTCAGAATACATCATCCCGGCAACAGCGACATAATCCATCACTTTGAGTGATGATCGAATATTTACCGCATTTAAAATAACAATAAATCAATGGTCAATTAGGACAAGATGTAATATAATTGTTTTTAAAACATACGATTATTTATATTAAAAAAATATCTTTTTCATTTTGTGGACACACCTAAATATTTTTTGCTGTTCTGCGTTACAAATGGGTTGAAACTTTTCTTTATTATCCCGTGTTGTATTGTGAAGGCGATATAAAATAAATAATAGTATTGGTACGTGCGTGCGTGCGTGGTGCACGAGTAGCGAGCGAAGGGTTAGCAGCTCGCCTCAAGGAAGGGGTGCAGGCTATGCGCGCGCGCAAGGTGCGGCGCGTGTGACTGCGTGTAATCCTTTCACTTGGCGACGCGTGCGCAACGCAAACTACGCAAGGGTACTATTATAAATGTCTCCGTTTTTTATATCCGACTCGGTCTTAAAATGCGATCGAGCACCAGATTGTTGTGACATCGGAATTGTACATAAAAATACAATTATGTTGGCAATATATTACCAATGAATTGAGTATAATTGTATACTAATAGTTTTCGAACTAGAAATTAATTACTTAATATAAGTAGGTATTGATTTATTAATGTACAAAACAATGTGCAATTTTAGTTTAATAAAAATTATAAATTGATCAACTATTAAAATATTATTTGTACACAATAGTGCAGTACCTATTTCGCGACTATCTTGGAATGATAAATAATAAATATAAAAAATATTAAACATACTTAAAAACTGTAAGTAGAGACAAGTATTTGTCAATTCGGCGATCCGTCGTGGTGGTCGTGTTGAGCGTAATACTGACGTGCCTGCATTTTGCTGAATATACTCGTGATATTTGAATTCAACGTAACAGGGGCGAGCGTGTCACAGTCATTCAAGAATAAGTAATAATAGATAATTAATAATTATAATAGTTGATTGATCAATACGAGTACCTTCGCAACAATTAGTGACAGATTTTATCATGAAAGTGAATTTAAAATGAATGTAAATCGTTTGAATTTCTAAACATTTTTTACGTCATTTGATTTAATGTTGAATTTGAATATTCAATTTCAAGGGACCTTAGACAGGCTGATACAGAATTTTAAGCCATGTGCATCAAAATGTTTTAATAGTAAATCTGCCGACAATAGTTAAATTAGTGGTTAAGATTATAATTGTGACGTTTAACTTTGATAGTTACCTAATATTTAATTTAACATTGTTACATTATATGTTCTCACACTCAAACATGAATATAAACCTATAATATTTTAAACATTTTTTGTGTAATTGTTTTTACAAGTTGTATTTTATTTTGTGCATTTGGATTCCGTCCGCCAAAAGGAGAAGATATTTATTTTGTGTGTACTTTTTGTGGATATATCTCGGCAATTCTGAACCACCATTTTATAGGTTTTTTCTAAATCGATAATTCTTCCCTCCAGTTTTTCTACACAGACCAACATCATGTCTGTTGCGAAGCAAAATTTCCTTGTGGTCACACAATTCCGTTTCCGTATTAAAATATTTGCAGTCAAAAGTGATGACGAAACAATGGCGTGTATTGTCAGATTAAAGTCGCTGTTTTCTAATGGAAATACATGAGTCCATTTAAGATAAATATGAATGTTTACGTACCGTGGCTGGGCGGCGGCGACGGCGACTTGATGAGTTGTGATTCTTCTGAAACAAAAACAAATACTCCGTGTTATTTTATTTTATACAACAACAGTGGCAATCAGCCACGGTATTGGTCACACGCTTGCAACACCAGAGGCCAAACTGTGTGGCCTGAAGGACTAACTCACAGTACCTAGTATATATTTTACTGTCATATCGTAACCTTTAAATTGGAATACACCATACAAGCATGTTGCTTGCCATCAGGAATTAAGGTGTTCACAGAGAACACATGATGACCAGTTGTAACCGCTGTCTCCTCTTAAAGTAACCAACATCATCACATAATGTATTTAATTAATTTAAAAACTAACAGTATGACAAAAGCAATTAATAAAATAAAAAATAAAATCATGATTTTTAGATAAATTTATGAGTAGATAATTAGATTATTATAGTATATATAATTAATATACATATAACTAATAACTATATATAACTAATATACATATGTAACAACTAGTCCCAAAGAAAATATTATATTATTCCAGTTGTGGGATGACGATGTACATAAAGAATATAGAAAGCAACGGGCATTATTGTAATTTATATATTTTTTTAAACCACGAAGGTGGCAAACAAGCATACATCCCGTTGGATGGTGAACGGTCGCTGTAACGTATGGACGCCCGCAACACTAGCGGTGTCATGTGCGCGTTGACGACTCTGAACAAACCTCAATACACGCTTAATATTTGTATGTATATACAAAATAGAAACAAAACACGTACCAAAGTATATTTAACAAATTTGTCACTGTGCATACATTATCTAGCTTGACTTGTTATCGCGCTGCAAGGTGTGAGATGCAATCATAAGATTACCTTATCAAATGGCGACCCGAATTAATCCGCGTAATCGTATGTAAAAGTTGTACTAAGACGCGCTTATGCGTAAATATTATCAGGATACATTCAAAGGCAGCGCAATTAATTATGACGGTACAGTACACCACCCTACACTACAGTACTGTCGTAGTATCAGACATTTATTGCCCACTACTGCATATAGACTTCACTGCTGCAATAAACGGCAGTGAGCATCCATATGTAATACACTTCCTGCAACATAGTCCACACTTTGTTTAGTTAATAATACTAAAATTGATAATGATACTAATAAAAAGATATAAAAATATGAACAACTACATTAAATTGCATAAAATTAAAATAATAAAAAAAAATCGTTAAAATCATTAAATTAATGTGGAAATTAATCAGAATTTAATTACATTGGTGGAATTGAAATAAAATCATTTAATTTTTGAAATCTTTATGAAAATTTAAGGATCGACGCCCTCTTCGCTTGTAATTGCTGCGCCCGACAAGGTCTACAATGGGCTTTATCAATTATTAACATCTCTCATAATAATATTGTAGGATGCAATAAATAAATTGAATTGAATAAACCCAAGTTCGACAGAGATTTCGGTCGTATTTTGTAAACTGGCCTAGTTCCTTCAAGATATCGTTAAGTTTAAAGTGATAATCAGTGGAAGCCACTTTGTATTTCCAATGATAACGTTCGAAACGGAAGCGTGGTGTAACACAGCTAGTTGTGCCGAGTTAAACATATTTCATACGTGAAATGTGATGACTTACGAGTCAAAAATGATCGTTTTAAGAAAAGAGTGATTGAAATTTTGGATAAATTTTTCTATTTTATTTTAATAATTTGATTGTATATATTTGTATTATAGATTATTATTCGGTCAACCAAAATACATTATCTTGTAACGTGGCAAATTGCACAGATAATTGATTATTTAAAAAAAAAATATTCCTATTGAAGTCTCATTATGATTAGTCAATACCAGGTTTCTGTACAAATGTACGAGTAATAATGTGAGATGTAATTTAAACGACATTGGATAAAACTACTACTAGCGTACACTTTAAGTTATATAGGCTTAATATATTAAATATCTAATTAATTTTTAATAATTTAAAAAGGCGTCACGTCACAAGTATATAGTAGAATAAAAAAAAAATACAAATTACTCTAGTAGCGCGTAATTCATGTTATGTTACACTGTGATTCGCGTGACACGGCGCCGCGGCGCCGCTGTAAGAGGAAGCTCCTGCATATCCAGAGAGCTATGGAGAGGATTATCCGCAAGAGAACCAAAGCAACGGATGTAGTATTAAGGAGCACAAGATGAAGTGGAAATGGAATGATTACATGGGATAACCAGGGGAAAGAAGGTCACGGAGTTGTAAGCTCGACGTACAACAGTATGAGGTGACCCCCATGGAAATATAGGTAGCTATAGTTTATATGTCGATATATTTATAATACTAAGATCTTAGAATTCACTAACAAAAGTGTTCGATTGTCGCTATCTACCTACAAACTGCATTGTAAACTTTGATATGATTAATGTCTCTTAAATTATTTTAGTGTGTTCTCGTAAACTGAAGAAAAGTATTATATTAGTGAGCGCTGAAACGGCAATAAACGTCTCGACTAATTTAAAAGAACCCGTCTGGCGCCACGCCCTTTTACATTCAATTCAGAAGAATTTAGCTCCTTCATGTCCCTTTAATATAACTTGGCCATAAGTTATATTGTTTTCTACTTCATCATTAATACACTACGATATACACTCAAGCTGATTTTAACCGTCTATGGAAGAAATCAAAATGTGTTTTTTTTTTTAAATAAAAACATAAAATGTTTAATTCAATTCAATTTATTTGTTCATAATAAACATTGCTGTGTTGAATATGACAATCATACATTATAAGATTAGAATAACAGAATACACATTAGGTATATATAACAATTTGACAAAATTACAAATATATAATCAATATATTTATACCAAATATATATATTTTAATTAATTAATTTTGTTTTAAGTAATATTTCGTAGACCTGTCTACGCGAGTGCTACGCGTTACGCTGTCATAGTTAAGTTTTATATTTATCTTAATTTTAATAACTTTTTTATATAATAGGACACATTGAATTCACAAAATTGATAATTGTCATTAAATACGTAACTGTTTAGCACCTTTGCATAATCGGAAAGTGGGAACAGGGTGATGATTTATCTATTAGAGAGACTATAATTGTAAGTATTATAGGCAATTTTTATAGATATCTATTTTTGTGTTCTTTGATATGACGATTGAGCTTAAGTGTATAAAATAAAAGTCTTTTTTTTATTACCGCGTCAGTAAAATGAAATTAACATTTCAAACTTAACAGTTTAACATGTTGCTAGTTACATTAGTTGGGTAATTCGTCTTATATATTGTTTAATCAATATAAAAAAACGTATGCATTACATAATTTTTTTAAAGACACAAAAGAGGTAAATTTTTTTTATTTTGTATCGTAGAAGTAGTTTCGGTGTGGGAAACGACGGCGCGGCGGCCGGACGCCGCGGTACCTGCCGACGACAGTAATCCGAGCACAATCTATCTGATACAAAGCCTTCGTCGGCGTACATGCATATGCTATTCAAATATCCGCGACTTCCAAAGATCTACTTAAGGGATCGCAAAAAAGCTGACGAATCACGTCAAAAGACGCGGTAAAAAACTGGGCGCATTGTGCGCGCGGGGCGCTCCATTATTGAAACGTCATCGCGACGAGGCTCGTTTTTTGCGAGCACTATTTAAGATTTAGATATAAAAAGAGTACAATCAGAGAAACAGGAACGCGTCCAACGCCAACGCTCCGTAAAAAAGTTTGCAGTTGTTAGTTTTTTCTGCGCCGTACAAACGAAAGGTAGAGGTAACCATTGCTAATGTAACAAAAAAATTTGTCTTAACACGATCTGATCGGTTCACCAGAAATGGATATAAAATATAATTGTATAAAAGTTGCATCAAGTTGTATCTCCGTACACGTCCACCGGTAACAATATGTTCACAAATACATACTCGTAGGTCCACCTGTTACGATTAGGACCAGCTTGTTGTTGTTGTCATTTACATATATTATACTGTATCAACAAACAGAGTTAGCAGTAGGTACATTGTAGGTAAAGTTTTTTCCATAACTGATACATTAAATTATACTACAATAGTAGGTATCTAGATACGTGGCAATGTGTCAATACAAACTAATACAAACCAACATTACACGAATCGTTTGGAGCCACTGTTCACCCTCTAGTCAATATAAGGACATGAAATTTGGTTAATTTATTAAAACCCCTTAGCCAGAACTGCTTTCATAAAAACACCTTAAGTGGTTATTGAGATACTGATGTTTAAAAATCGGTATTTTTATTACTGACTGACCATTCTCAGATAACCGAGCATGTTAAAATTTGGCTTACAGATAGGTAATAGTGTGTATATAAAGAAATAAATAAGAAAACAGTGAATTTTTATGATTTAAAACATTTTTCAATTTTCGACTTTTATTAATAGGTAGCGCCTATCAAAATTATAATAGCAAAATTTTCACGTATTTCGTAATATTTTGTTTAGAGTTACGTATAATTAATAATATAATTGGTATTATTACATTCACCGATGTCAAATTTATTTACAAATTATGTTGGCTAATGTCGTAGTGATTCAATATTATGCCCCACAAAAAATCGACTTCAATTGTGATAAAACTAGTTATTTGATCTAGAAACTACTAAACCAATTTTGATATTTTTTTATGAAACCAATCAGTAAGTATATCATTTTAGAATTATTAGAATTAGGTTTAGAACTAGTGTAGTTTATATGAGGTATACATAAAAAAATACAACCCAATTGAAAACTTACTTGATTAGCTAAATATAACTTGAATATAATAACTATTCAGGTCAAATCTTGAGCTTAAATTTATTCCACGTTATCGGCTTTATATAAATAATTTGACTGTTCAAATTTAAGTAATTACATTTTTAAATAACAAACACTACAAATGTTTGTTATTTAAATTTACAAAACACAATGTACAAAATATACACTTGTAACAGAAAAAAAACAAAAATTGTTTTTAAATTTATTTTAGTATGTTTATTTTTTATTTTAATACTTTATTGT